TGGCACCCTTCGATGGCCCTCTCGACGTCGGTGGCGTCAACTTTCGGGGCCGAGCGCATGGATGAAGCCTTGACAGAAGACGACTTCTATAGCGGCCCCCTCCGTGGCATCTTCACCAGACTTGAGAAGCAACACATTCTACGCACGATACATACCTTGGTGCTCGATGGCCTCAGTGTAACAGCAGAGCTCGTGAAAGAGCTCGTCACAGAAGACCGATACAACGTCCGCATTCTGTCTATCCGAGAGGTCAAGCATTTGAACGAAAGGAAGCTCCAGCAGTATCTCCGATATGCAGTGCGACCATCAAGACCAGCGGGTACACCAAGAGTCAAAGGTATCTACCTATTCGGGCCCCGCGATCCTCTGCCCTCTCCTCCACCGGCTACTGCAAAGAAGTTCACCAAGATTTCACCACGAGGCATCATGTCTTCGCAGGGAGCGCAAATTGGCGCAGAGTGGTGAGTGGTACCCACTGGTAAATCTCCTCCATTATGGGTTCTGACTCTTTACCAGGAATCAAAAATCTTCAGACGCACTCAACACTGCACTGGCACAGACGGAGGACAGATGGTACAAGTCTTCAGGCAAGATGATCCCGAAGCGGCCATCAGCAGACTGGGCGGAAATAGTCCAAGCATGCGAGGGCATCATCGCCTTTGATGCTGTGCTATGCAGAGGTCCACGGCATGATCCAAGTAGAATATATACCCTGGAAGGCACTGCGAGTGGCGCACCACATCCCGCATCATTCCTTCGTCCCACAATTGCGACTGTTGCTCTAGGACCATCTGGCTGCGAGACATGTCACTCTTGCCCCGAAGGAGCCGCCGTCTTTGGACAGTCTGTACAGTCACATTTCCCACTCCTGAGTCCAGTGCCACTTCATGGAAGCTCGCTGCGCGCAGCGCAGATACCACACACCACCGATGGCTCATCAGCCCCACCTCTTATTGTACGCTGCGAAGACTGTCTCAAGGGTCGTTGGTGCGAACGGTGTCATAAATGGTGGGACGAGGAGTGTTATACTGGATCAACGATTGCCCAGCGCACGGAATTGCAGCAAACGGAGCTCACAGAGAGCCTACAACCCAACGGGACTAGCCACCTGATCCCGAAACAGACCATCAAGGTACATATGGGCCTCTGTGTTGAAGCTTGCCTAGTCGGAGAAATGGAAGCCGGTGCTGGCTCAAACGGGATGTGCGGATAACCGGATTTACCTTGGCGCGCAAGAAGCAATGTTCCTTCGTGGAGTTGTTACAAAGTGGTTGGCTTCCGGATACCAGTCTCCAAAGACTGCCCGCGGATCTGCCTACTGGACGACTGCAACTGTGAACCTGGCACTTGCGCGCCAAGGTATGTGCTCAATCTGTTGTCAAGAAATAGGCTGACGGGAACAAATTTAGGTCATCGGCGTAAGAAGGGATTGCTTTGGCTGCGGCCATACGGTATGCCATCTCCCTCCACCCCTGGCCTTGAGGTGCTTGAGCTTACTGGGAGTAGTGCATCAGCTGCAAAGAGCTGTTCATTCGAACATGCAAGAGGTGTAAGAACGAATATTGTCGAGAAGACAATGAGGCTTCCTCTGACATAATGGTATGTCTTTTCAGACAGCTATATTACACTCTGAAACTCACATGTCTCAAGTGCGACTGGTGCAACTATACCTCACGGCGAACAACGGTTGAGATGTAGTACACTTCGGGGCAACTAGAAGCGTGATGAGTCTCCTAGGGACAACAGGTCCTTTGATGCATAATGATTATGACCTGCATTGTTTTGGCGGAGTCGAGGGCACTTTTGGATATCACTCTCCCCTTTGCCCATGTTATAACAGATACCCCCCTCAGATATGATAAACTTGAACTCGAACGTGCTCTCAAAGTTGTGATTTCGACCGCATTGTCCAGATGATTCTCTATGTTAAACAGCATTGCTGGCAATCCCTAGAACTGGCATTCATGAATACTCTAAATTATTCACCATGTGACTGTCTCGTGAGCACTGTGAGCAGACATGAGATGCCTCGCTCCTGTGGTCGGCCAATCAGACGGCGGGACCTCCGAAGCGACACGAAGACATTCATACGACTGCCGCTTTGAGAGCTCAAACATCGACTTGAAGAAGTTATTCTCTTAATACATTTCGACGCAGAGTCACTCTTGTTTCGCAGGTTGCTGTGTATTCCGTTTCTACTGTCCTTTTTATTGACATTTGCTCGGTCGGTGACGTTGCAACATTCGTTCCACGTAATTATCTCCACCACTTCCACAACACCGCCCAAGCTTCGCCAGGCTTACCCACCACCCCCGCTGTCACCACCCGCTGTTACCACTCGCTGCCACGACACGACCTCTTGCGTAGACCACTAGCTTCGTCAGGGCTCCCCTCATCGCGACAATGGCGCAATACGGCTACGGACAGAACCCCCAATACGGCGGTGGTAACGCACAGAACCTCCAATTCTACTCGTCTTCCTTCTCCAACCAACCAGTGTCCGGACACTCGACACCCTTCCAAGCAAATTACGGTGCTTCTCAGACTCAAGCCTACCCGGCACAGTATGGCGCGGGCTTCGCAGCACCAGGTGTGAGTGGGCAGATGGGCATGGGCGCATCGGGGCTGAGGACTGGGTGGCTGGCGGCATTTGGCACAGAGGGATATGAAGGCGAACCACCACTGCTGGAAGAGCTAGGAGTGAATTTCAAGCACATACAGATGAAGACGCTAGCTGTGTTGAATCCATTTGGGAGGATCGATCAGCATATCATGGACGATAGTGATGTTGCGGGGCCGATTCTGTTCTTCTTGATCTTTGGCACTTCACTGCTGGTACGTTACTCGATGCTCATTTCTGGAATCATACTGATGGCTACTAGCTTTCTGGGAAGGTCCACTTCGGGTACATTTATGGTATGTTACGATTCGCATGGTTCACACGTCATAGCTGACAGCCACGTAGGGCTGGCCTTTGTTGGCACCATCCTCCTCCATCAAATCCTCTCGCTCATGTCACCATCTGTGAGTGCTGCTGAGGCAGCTCCCGGAGACCACGGCCACTCGCAAGGGTCGCACCTTGGATCTTCCTTGACATTTCCGCGATCAGCATCAGTTCTGGGATACTGTCTGCTCCCTCTTGTCATGGTTGCCATTTTTGGCATCGTTGTTCCACTCGATGGTCTCTTCGGATACCTCCTTACCAGTCTTGCCATCTTTTGGTGCTCGTATGCTTCAAGTTCGATGTTTACCGTTGTTGGTGAGTCAAGCCTGGTCAGGTATAGGCCAATGCCGAAGCTAATTTGTGGCAGGACGCATGACTTCTATGCGAGGCCTTGTGGCATATCCCATGGTTTTGTTCTACGGCAGTTTCGGTATCATGGCCATTTTCAGCTCTCGTGGAACTGGCCAATTGGCCAAGGTGGCAGGCACATAGCATGATCCAGAGGGTCGGTTGCGGGTCTGGGCCATTGGGGCTGGTTTTGGGTACAACTAACGGGAATATATGATACCATGCACGTATATTCAAGCGTAACGCGCGTAGTAAAAAAAAACAAATGCATCTGGTGTAGTTGTTCAATCATGTTGAAGCATGCGGCCAATCGGAGCATGGCAGGTGTTGCTTAGGCCTTAGGCCGATGATGACGATGGGAGACCCTGCAGCCAAATCTTCTCCCCGACACTCGCCGCCACCCGTTGGTAACATTGTGGTAGTGGTATCCTTGATGAGCCTGCCTTCACTTCTTCACTGAAAATTTTGATTTTGATTTCTGTAGAACACTTTACTCGTACTTCGATTCATCATGGGCTGGTTTTGGGCAGAGTCTTCACCTTCTGCGCCTGTTGCGCCTGTTGCGCCGCACCGTATGCCGCGAGGAGGCAACGCTGAACCACCTGTACGTCTTGCGCGCGACTCGCAACATGAACAAAACTAATCCTCAACGCAGCCAGAATGTCCCATGCACAAGCCCAAGACGGCCACGGCTCCCGTAGTCGCAGAGAAATCACAAACGGCCTCCTCGAGCGCCTGCCGTTATGTACCCCCCTCATCAGCAGACTCGTCTTCACCACCCAAGACCGGTCTCCTCTCACGCCTCAACCCCCTCAACAACATGTTCAGCGACCTCTCCAATGACCGCGCAGCCAAACAAACCCTCGACCTCCCGCTCTCCCGCGAAACGAGCACGATCCCCAAAGGCGACGGCTCACTCTGGGAATACCCCTCCCCGCAGCAAATGTACAATGCCATGTTGCGCAAAGGATATACGGACACGCCCATTGACGCAGTCGAGTCCATGGTTGGCGTTCACAATTTCCTCAACGAGGGCGCCTGGGCGGAGATCATGGGCTGGGAGCGGCGCTTCAGCAAAGGGATAATAGAGGGCTACAAGATTTGCAAGCGCGGCGAGGACATGGCCAATCTCATGCTCGGCACCGCAGACGATCCCTTTGACACGACGACGTGGGACGATGCCAAGATTCCGCCTCCCAAGCTCCTCCGCTTCACCGGTCGACCGACGGAGATGACGCCCAAGGCTACCATACTGCAGTGGCTGGGCGAAGTCATGCCGGGCAAGTTTGGCACCGCGCCCCCGTTCGACAGGCACGATTGGTTTGTGGAGCGGTGCAACGAGAATGGGTGTCAGGAGGTGCGCTACGTGATTGATTACTACGAGGGTGCGCCGGAGCCGACGGGCGAGCCGGTCTTCTATCTGGATGTCAGGCCTGCGGTAGATGGGCCGCGGAGTGCAGCAGAAAGGACGATTCGCTGGGGTACGGATGTTTGGTACGTTTTTGTCAATACATGCTTCATTGAAGTTCATTCAGGTGAATGAGAGAGTCCAGACTAACAAGTATGAACAGGTGGAGAGGCACCGGTGGCGTAGCGCGAGAACTCAAGAAATTGGAAGCAGCGAAAAAGGCAAAGGAGGAGGAGATGGCTGCGAAGAGTAGGTCGTATAATTGAGTTGATACACTGTTGCTCCACGGGCCTTTTTTTCCTCCTCTCTCTCCCGTTCTCTTCACACTTCTCTCCCCTCTCTCATACACACCCAATTCCCATTCCCAAATCTTATCCAGCATCGCGCGGCGTTTTCTATCTTTTATCTTTCCAGCTTCGGGGGCTTGGCGGCTCGGAGAGATCAGCTCACTAAATCTTGTACACTACCACACGAAACGAATCAAAACGAACTTCCAAGCAGAAATATACGGCTATACCAGCCCAAATCGTGAAATCTTGAAATCTTGAGAGGGTTGATGGAATCCATGATAGCTGTCCCATTACACATGTTTCACTCGCCGGAACTGGTTTGAACGTCTTTCATACTTGCTTGTTGAACAGTAAGAATAGCACAGACAAAAACTCGGGGAAAAAGTTGGGTACATACCTGTATCACTGTGCTTCTATACCCCTTTTACAAACGACATCAACAAGCATCGCCCCTCTGCGGGACCGAGACTCCGCACCACTGTACTACTTACTACAAATGTGTATGGAAAGGAGCGCGTGGGACTTGGGTATCCAGCCCCCCTGGATGCTGGATGCTGGGTGAGCTACCAAAATCATCATTTGAATTTTAGTTTCATGTTGTCTATGGGTTTGTGTTAGGGTAGGATAAATAGTACGCAAGGCGAGGTGAGACTGTATAGTATGGTAGGATACGGTATAATGCGATATGGCATGGTATATGATATGATGGGATATAGTACAGTACAACGTCCACCCACACACCCATTTCAACAGACAGACAGACAGACAAAACAGCAACAAGCACAAAGCAGGAAATCCTGTTAAGAAAAAAACAAGGGGCGGGGGGGAGGGCCCGGATGTCTCTCATTAGCGACAAAGTTGGCCGATCCGACGGTGCGTGGTGTAAAGAGACACAACAAGTGTGGGCAGGCATCTGCTGTGCAAGTGGAAAAGGAGAAAAAAGGACATGGATGGGTGTGCGTGTGAGCAGAACAAGGTCACATTAATATGGCAAACAGGATGGGGGGGGGAGCGGCAATGGCTCGTCTGTGATACAATCATACACCGTACGCCCGTTTTTATATGGACAAAAATTGGCGCCCGCCCCCCGAGACATCCACGGCAAAGAACCGTCAAGGTGCTGCTTGCATGGATGTAGTCGGAATTAAAAAGGTGGGTTAAAACAATGTGGATAACAAGAGAGGGTAGATTCCGTTTTGGAGGGGTCGGGAGTGCTGTTTGTTCGACTGTTGAAGCTCGGAGACGGAAGTATCATCGTTATTATCAGCCTGGGTTCTACGAGGCAGGTATACTGGGCGTTGAGTCGACGGCTGCTGTTCTCATGATAAGCTTTCAGGTCGTCGTGTGTTGGGAGGGAAAGGAAACTGACCTTGCGGCGAGTCTTCAACCTTCTGACGCTTCTCTGCGGCTGCATAGTCATAGGAGCCTTCTGGGCTAGAATGCTTCGTGCCCGCTGTACCATGCTGAGCAGCCGCGGCTGCTTGTGCTGCCATCTGGAGCTCTCCAATCTGGCGCTCCGAGAGCCCCCCGTTATTGCTGCTGGGACTTCTTTGTTGTTGTTGCTGATGTTGTGATTGCTGTGGCTGTTGCTGTGATTGCTGCTGCTGCTGCTGCTGCTGCTGCTGCGGTGGTTGTTGTTGCTGTTGTTGTTGCGGCTGCTGCTGTAGTGGCTCTGGTGACTGAATGTGCTGCGGTGGTTGTGGCTGGGGCTGATTCAGACTCGAAGGACCACCATGGGGACGGTTCAGGTCGACGCCAGCGGGCGCAGGTGGTATTTCGCCCTGAGTCTCGAGGAGGCGCGATTGGAGGTTGATGATGTAGTCGCGCAGTTGGTAATTCTCCGACTGCAGCGTCTTGTACAGCTCGCATAGCTGTTCGAATTCCTTGACCTGATCCTTGAGCTGCTTGATGTACTCCTCCTTGCGCTGCCGGAATGCGCGCTGCCAAGGTTAGCACAGTGCCATGGCGATGCGCGACTGCTACTCACTTGGGCAGCACGGTTCTGTGCAGCGCGCTTTGACGTGGACAGCTCGCGCCGACCTTTGGAGCGCCCTTCACTCGTGTTTCCATCATCGCCGGCACTCATGGCATAGGCAGCGCCTGCTATGGCCGGGTCAATGGCGTGCGGCGGGCCGTTGGTGTGAGGATGCTGCTGTGGATGCTGGGCGAGCGTCTGCGGGGTGGGCTGGCCAGCGCCTGCCGCGAGCAGATGCTCTCTTAAGCCTGTGCGATGTGGGTTAGTAATTAGACGGAGGTGTGTGGTGTGCAGTGTGTGGTGTGGGGGCGCGAGCACTCACTCATCTCTATAGTGGGCTTATGCTCCTGATGCGTACAGTCAGCAACAACGTCGGCATAGACATGGACGCACGCGGTAGTACGGCTTACCTGAGCGCCAGGTGGCGGCGGCGGCTGCTGCTGCATGTTGTGATAGCCCGTGTCGCTGCGGATCAAGGGATACAGCGTCCGGGTCATTCGACGTGTCGAGGCGCGTGCGTGCGTGGGAGTCGAAAAAAAAAGAGGTTGCAATCAAAGAGTCTGGTGACAGCGGTATCGTCGGCAGCTGCGATGCTCGTGGTGGTGGTGTTGCTGGTAGTGGTGGTGGTGGTGACGTCGCAGCGGTTGCGCTTGCAGCGAAGTGTCGGGTGGCAGGCCGGCTACACGGGGCGCAGGAACGGATCTGGGTGCGATTGAGAGTCAGCGTGTTTGTGCGCATGGCCGATGATGGCGCGTGGATGTTGCGACGGCATGATTTGTTGTTGTTGTCGTTGTTATTTCTTTGGTAGTGGTAATGGTAGTGGTATGTGTTGTCGCTGTTGGTACCGTCGACTAACAACGAAATGGGCAGAAGGGAGGGGGGGAAGGCCCGGGGGACAAGCTCACCTGTGCTGGCCGATGCTGTTGGCTCAAAATGTCGATTACGCAGCTTTGACTAAGAAAGGTGGGCGGGCGCGGTTTTAAGTACAAGACGAGCGAACGAACAATTAGAACGTATTGCATTAATCCACAAGGTTTAGTACACTTCCTGCT